GTTCCCTTAACTACAGTGTGTAACACACATTTTCATATCTTGATGAATTAAAAAAAAATTAGTATTTTTGTAAGACCTTAAAGAAAATTAAAAAGGAGGGAGCTTTGTTTTGCCACATAAATTTGCAGTGTTTTTACATGAAATTGAGTATTGGAATCAGGACTGTCAACATTCATGAAGAGGTGATGTTAATATGGTAAAATAAACTTTAAAATTTAAGAATACTCCTGGGAGTGTTTCTAAAACAGTCCTTTCTATTAGCACAGACAGATAATGGTATTGTAATTGGTTTCCTTTAATACACACATTTGAAATTAGCAGCCCATTTTGCATTCTCATCTTCTCCCTTTACAACCAGATGTGCAGCTTTCCTAAAACAGTGCTCAGGGGACTCTCAGCAAAAGCCTTGAGCTTGGTTCCCAGCAGGTGCTGATCTCAACACCTTGTTCTAAGGAGGAGTAATTGTATTAAAAAAAAAAAGAGGCATTTTGGAGTACCAACACCATCTCAATTAAGCATCCAGTGGGGAGGTCTGTGGTGGCAGGGAGAGAACATTAAAGAACTGATGCCATCAGTCCTTGTAGTCAGCAAACTTCCAGCACTTCTCCAGGTCTCTGATTTTAGTGATGACCTGTAACAAGCAGACACCCATCTTGATGTCCATAGGTCCATAGGGGACCTGCTTTTAGGTGAACTTACCTCCTGCCCACAAGAGAACTTATTTTCTGTTCGGAGTTCTCACTGTGTATTTGACACAAATGATTCTACAGCTTATGCTGTTTAAAAACTGAAGCACAGACCAAAGCCCCTAACCCCAAAACTGAATAAATCTAAAAAGTGAGATGTGTATAAATTTCCTCTCAAAAATACATTTAATATATGACTAGTACTTATACAGACTGGGGAAATGCCATGTGCCTATGATGCCTTTTTCTTGGATCTAAAATTAAGAGCCAGGCATGGTTGAGGGATAAAGGGTTTTGATTTTGGTATTTAATAAGGATCCTTGTGGTGCAACATTTGGCCAAGGTGGAATGCACTGAAATGCACATTCAGGGTAGATCCTGCATACACTTTTATAGACCTTGCAAATTAGTATATTCAACAAAGATGCCCAGTGAGAAGCTTGAATGAACAGTGTGATATCTTCCTATCTCAAAGTATTCCCTTCTAGATGGGCTTAATTTTAGTTTACAGGATGTATTCTAGAGGGGGCCTTGGTTTCTCTAGCTATTGTAGGGCTTTCTGGCCCCTAATTGTGAGGCCTTTAGGATGTTTGGTTTCCTGGCCTAACAGAATACCAGGACTAGGCTAAGTTATCAGACTTAAGGAATTACAAACACTTTTTTCAGGGTGAAATGTAGATTTCCAGTGTCTTCTTTTTTTTTTTTCTTTTTTTCCCTAGTATGGGTTATACAGATTTGAGGTCTGTTGTGGCTGTAAAATTAATCTACTTGCTGTGTTAGCCTTTAATACTGTATTCCAACCTACAACTGCAGTAGCACAGCTTGAAGGGAATTTAATTAGGAAAATGAGGCAGATGAAATAGGCAATGTAATGTATATCAGCAATATGAAGAAGAGTAAATACACTTTTCATCTGAATAGTCAGAATAGAAACTGTGTTAAACTGGGCTGAAATTTAATCAGAAATGGATTTCTTTCATTTTCTAACATTACTGTGTAATTGTCCTCCTTATTACTGGGGATTAGAAAGGCTACCATCATTAAAGAGGAAACATATTTAACCAATTATGTGTTGTTTCTAGTTTGTCTGGCACTGACCTCCTCTTTATGTGAAAAATGGAAATCCCTGGAGGAGCAGACTTAGAGTGGTCATTTCAATCTGGGAATTGGGAAGCCCTGTGTGTGTGCACACACCTGTGCTCATTGATTCCTGCTGCTTTACAGACCATGCAAGCAATAAGTGGTAGAGTTCAGGTGACTAAAATCTTGCTCTGCCAGTAGCAGTTTCCTGCCTGGCAGCACTCTGGAATATTCCAGCCTTGCTGTAGTGTGTAGCTGCACAGTCATGGATATTTCACTTGTACCCATTACTTATTTCCCTAGTGCATTTTTTAGCATTTGTGTTGGTTCTGAGCACAGATGATTGTACTGTGCAGAAAAACACAGAGGATCACTAGGGCAGAAGGCAGCTAAAGTAATATATAATAGATTATGAATAATTGTTTAAGAAGAAGTCTCCCATAATCCCTTTGCAGAATTGGAGAGAGTAGCGCAGGGAGGTCTGCAATATTACACAGCACAACAGTACAACTGACACATTAGTTTGAAACATATTTATCTAGTCTGAATCAAAAGATAGAAATACATTATTCAGATACATTTTTGCATAGTAAACAAACAGAAGGGGTTTTAATACATACTTTAATTCTATGCATGAGATTTTTTAATGTTCTAATAATTCTGGATCAACCCACTTGGGCTGTAATGTGATTCTTCAAACTATTGCAAAGAGCAGTATGAAATGACTGCTTTTACTTTACTGATTTTTCTAGGTATTTTAAAAACAAGACAGGTAGTCAAGTAAATAAATATCATGTGGTAGGTGCATGATGAAAACACAGTACAGGCAACCTAATGCCACCAATCTTATTTTGCTACTTTTTGCTGTTTTTTGCTTATGGCAGCAATCAGCCAGAGGACTTCTCCAGTTGATTACCAAATCTCAGGTTCTCTCCCTCCTTAGGTCAAATTTCAAATCATCATATTTTACATTTAGCATTTGTGATTTTGAAGCCTTGTTTCTGTGTTTAAGTCTGTCCCATGCCTCTGGACAGTACCTTTATCTATCAGTGTCCTGGAAGATAAAACAAGTAATCATCAGTAGTATTTTTAGTTTTGTCCATAGCATTGCCAAGTGCAAGGGCAGGTGGTACATTTGATTTTCCAGCTTCTGGAGACAGCAGCTTACCATTTCATCACTGGAGGGTAGTCCTGGTATGGAATATGTCTCTATCCTTTGTCAGAAGCATTTCCTTCATTGCAAAGAGAACTATGTCTCTTTACTGAGTTGTGTGAAAACATTCTGCATGTTTTAATCAGAATGAAAAACCCCCATGGGTGGTTGCTGATGGACTGCTTAAGAGAAATGAGGCAGATTGATTGAAGTTCCTAATAGTCATTTTTTCAAGCATCAGCACAAGATAGCAGGTGTTTTCTCTGCTAAGCAATTCTTCTAGTAGCTAAAGAGACTTGATTTTTGTATGTTGTCAACTTTCAAGTTTAATATATGCTAAGGGACACATCTCAGACACTTAATCTTCTGTTGTCTTTATGTGGAAAAGAATGTAGAACCTTTTCAAATCTTTGAAACAGGCATACTTAAAATCTCCAGACTTCCATGGTCTGTTGAAGCATTTCCTTTCATCTGTGATTTTCAAAAATAAAACAAGACATGGTGCTTAGAAAATGTTTATTACATGGAAATATAGTAATCTTATTTGTTACTGTATCTTATGCTAAGACTTACATGTGTTTTTCTGGTGTAAACCCTGATTAGATGCATCTGCTGCCCTTAATTTAAAAGTTCTGCTGTGGAATCAGACCACTACAAAGCCAGAAGTTCCTTTAGAGGAACAAGTATTTCTCAAAGACATTTTCAAATGTCCCCCTCTTTAGAGGGGGTTGTTATGTACACATAACAACCCCTTCTAAAGAGGGGGACATTTGTATGTGGGAGCAGGTACAGGTGTTAGGCACAGAGTTTGGGGTAATTGGGGTGGGGCTGTGCCTGAGCCCCATCCTAATGGGCTACAGCTGGGAAAAGCAGGTGAGCAGCACTGACAGCAACCAGGGAGTGCCCAGGGGCACTGACCAACCACCAAAGGGAACAGAGGGCACACGGGTGCAGTGCATCAACAGGAGGGGTAAAAGGTTCTGCACATGCTTGCAGCCTTCTGATGAGGTAAGGTGTTACTCTGTATGGGGGAATGCTTGAAGCTTTCTGAAATTGTGTGGTGATACTCTGTATTGTGGCTATCTCAACTGATACATGCTGTGACACAAATGGGATGATAAATCAGAATAAATCTCTTAGATTAAGGACCAAGTTGAGGTCTTACTGTACACTTGTAATCTTGCAAGTAAAGAACTGCAACAGAAGACCCTCCATGGCTGTAGCAGTAGATTTCCGTGTCTCAGGCAACATATGAAACTGAATTTCCTGATTAGTCACTTGGTTCAAACTGGGTAATGCTTCTGATGTGTCTCAAGTATTGTCACATGAAATTTGTCATTTCTTCATTTTTCACCCTGCAGTACCTTGGATATTTCTGATTGAATTAAATACTTTAAATACTCTAGGGCTTAAAGACCTAAAATAGAGACAGTTGGGACTGTGCTGTAGCTATTTAAGAAGGTTTTTCATTCTTGTCACGAAGAGAGAATATTTTAGTGAATGAAAGTGGAATTCTTTGACTTGCTATAAGAGAAAATGTAGCAGTGATCATCTTCACATTCCAGTTGCTTAAGCTAGACAGTGTGGATGGAAAATGGAAAAATAAACTTTCTTCAATTTGCCAGTGTTTCTACAGTTGAGGTATTTAATGGAGAGATTAAGAAAATGTGGTTTATTTCATACATCCTGTGTGCACTGATTTGCATTGTGGCAGAAAAAATGTGAAATCCTATTTGCACTTTTCAAAGAACATATGACCCAAATGTTTACAATGCAGGACAAATGAAAATGGGAGGGAGAAATTGCATTCCCTAGAATTCTGTAGCCCTGCCAAGATGATGAGAGACAACTTTAAGAAATTATATGTAAATTTTTTGCTTTGGAAAGAAGCCTTTTCCACCCCTTCTTCAAAGACATGATCATTTTATGGAAGATGTAACAACCATTCCGTGACCCCCCAAATGATGAGCCCAGGAGGCACTTTCTGCTGGAAGCTGTACAGGCAGTTTGATTGTTTTATTCCTGTTGCTTGGAAAAGGCAGAGTCCATCCCTTAATTATCTTAACCATTGTCTCTTTCAGACCCTGAAGATCAAGCCTGACCATGCTGAGATTTGGGCAGCACCTCCTCAAGCCCTCGGTGGTGTTCCTGAGGACAGAGCTGTGCTTTGCTCTGGTGAACCGCAGGCCGGTGGTGCCAGGACGTATCCTTCCCATGCTGCTGCTCTCTGGGAAAGGCAGGACATGCTCAGGACACTTGGAAGGCCAGGTAGGATGCAACATGGGTTTATTCCAAGTCCAGGCAGTGATGCTTGATCAGAAGATGCTTGATCAGTGTTGCAGAACTGCTGAAAACAGTTGCTTAGCAACTGTGACCTTCGAGGTGAAATTCTATTGACCTTTTCACCACAGAAGATATATAAACAACCAGGTGCTACTAAAAGCATTTTAAAGTCTATTGGAGGTGGTACTGTTTGTATTCCATATTATGCTAAATAACACATCTCACTTCCCTTTTAATAATGTCACTTATTTTTTGATGTGGTAACTCTTTTATGGAGGATTTTCAAGTTTTCCTGGCTAAATGTATACCATTTGTTAAATGCTGGTAGAACCCTGTATGATGATTTTGAAGACTTTTTTTGGGGGATACAGATTGCTTTGATTAATTTAGGTGGGAATGGATTAAATAAGCCATCTGTATAGTGCACGCATTTCATGATGAAAATGTGAAGCCTCATGGTATAAGTAAAAATCTTGAGTTTGAAACTGTATGGTAACTTGATTATACAAGATGTTCAATGTACCTATTTAATGTGTTGTGTAGTGTGTTATTTTCCAGTCAAAATTCTGCTGGTCTGTAATTTGTGCTGATTTTAATGGCTGGAAATGAAATTTTTCAGAAATAATTAAGACTGATCTCCTCTTCCATAGAGGTTCATGATAAAATTTTAGGAGGAGCTCAGGTAAAGAATGAATGTCTTGGGGAAAAAAAGGAAGTTGTCTGGAGTGTATTGAAAGTTCTCTTGTTAGTTTTGTAGTTTTATGTTGGTTTTTTCATAACTTAAAATCAAGTGAATTTTAATATAGATTTTTAAACCCAAAATTATTTTTCCTCTTAAGTATGGAACCTTCCTTTCCTCCCACCAGTTCTGTAGATTATAATTGTTCAATATTGAACTTTTCTCTCCACCTGTTTTGAATGGTGTTTCTGTGTACCAGAAGTCAGAGCATGGCAAAGATGCACAGACTTCATAGAAACTTTAAAGGTGTTACTGTCTCACCAATATACTTTAATGAATTAAATGAACAGTTTTTCTCATCTCTGAGTTTCTGAAATTCTAGATGTAAATCCAAGGTGATTTACAGATTTCTCATAACAAAAACTGTTTTTAGAGCTATATAAAGGCAGTGTCACATCGATCACTCTGAGATGCAGGGCCTGTAAGTGCCGGAGCAGTTGCTGTATGCATTGTATGGATCAGAGAGTAAATAAACTCTTATCTGTTCTGTGAGTACAGGTTTTAAAAACAACATTTGACTTTTTAAAAAAATTAATCAGTTAAGTGAACAATTGCATCTGTTGTTAAAAATAGAGTATTTCAGATGAAGCATTCTTGTTTTAAAGTTTTGTGAGCACCTAGTAATGACAAGTTAAGGACCCTATAAAACTTAATTATTACAAGCTTCTTTTCTTCTTAAATAATTAAAGATTATAAACTCTCATTGTATAATTATTGCTGACTTTTGGCAGATACATTTATTTGCTCAGGGTTTAGCTTTGTTATCCCATAATGAGTTTTGCAGTGTATTTTATAGTGTCACATTGTTTTAATAGCTTGTGTTGTAATATATAATGTAGTCTTTGTTTCTCCATTGAATAAATGTTCAGGTAATAAAAACCCAACCCTTTTCCTCTCTCATTACAATGAGAAGAAATTAGGAGAGATCTTGATGTAAAGGCTAGAATACAGTATGTAAAATAGAGCAATTTGCAGTTGTAAGCCTTTTTAAGTGTCTCTATAATGCAGCATTCATCTGGAGACCTGACAGTAAGAAGTGTATTTTCTTTGTTTTATTGCAATAATTTTATCTGCCTTGTCTTTGGCACATGTGTGACATTTTTTTTCAGTAGAAAATAAAATATTAATGTATGTGAATTAGAGATAAAGGAAATCAGTTTGAAAGCCAGATCACTCCAGGTGGTGGCTTTAATTAACTAGTAAGGTTGAAATTCCATCTTGAAACAGAACATAGGGTTGGAATTATGAATTTGCAGTAATAGTTTTAAAATAAAACTATTCTCTGGGAAAAAGTCTGTCACAATGGCCTTGTGGAGTTCAGTGTGACTTGAGCAATGCCAAAGCAGGCTTGTTCACTTACACATTGCAAAGTTTTGTTTTGTTTATTTTGAGCTGCCAATCCTGTGAATTTATCTTGACATTTGAAAGGCAAATTGTGCCAGAAGTCCAAAATTAGGTAGAGTAAGAATATAGTATTTATGGTAAGGAAAGGGTTTTCCTGTTCCTGGACAGAGCTGCCTCATTTTTCCCAGCATTAAACTTCTGCCCAATGGGTGCACTGAGTTCACGGACTCAGGAACTCAGTTTGTATTGGGATTCCTTCAAATGATTACTGCAGATTCTTGGACAGGGAGGTGCTGGGTTCTTACTATTGAGTAAGGATATCCAACATTAAACTGGAATCTTCAGTGTGCAAGCCACAATGTGCACATGTGTGGGTCAGCAGGAAGTTGACCTCTTCTGGCACGAGGAGACAGAGGAGAGCTGCAGGTGGTTACGGTGCAGGAATGGTGCCTGTTCCTCTCAGGAGATCCAGTCCCTTTGCTGTCACCTGGCAGGCAGAGACTCAGAGGTGTTGGACCACAGGCTGTCTGGAGACATTGTTGCTTGTAATAATAAGGGATCTGTATCTGCTGTTGCCTTTGCCTTGTCTGATATCAGAGCAGAAGGCACATGGCATTGGGGACAGTGTTGATTAATGAGGTACTGGATTTTGGAGTGTACTTTTATAATGCCTTTCTGACATTGTTGCAGAGCCAAGAGTCTGGGTAGGAACACAAATACTGTATTCAGTGCACATCTGGGCTGTAAGCTTGGAGTGGGGAGGAGGTAGCAGGGTGTTCTGGAAGCTTGCTGGGATACCTTATACAGGTATCCATTCCCTTTTTCACAGGGGTCCCTGTTTCCTCTCTGTTCTGTCAGCTTGCTGCTTTGCAGAGGGTGATTGTGAAAAGCAGTCGCTTGTGGCTCCCTTGAACAGCTCTGTGGTTGTTTTGGAGGAGGCAGCTATTCAATAGCTGGAGCAGTGCAGGGATGTGTCTATAGTCAGCAAATGCATTGTTTCTGTCACACAAAGGCACAAGACGAACTGAATCAGCTCATGCAAGCAGCATGAGCTCAGCTTCTCCTTGGCTTCTTGCTTGAATTACTTCATTCAGAACCTTGCTGCTTCCATAGAGCAGAACTGTGGTGCTGTTTGAAACAAATTCCATCTGCTCTTTGACATGGACCTTTTGTGCTTTAATGTGGTAGCAGATACCTTGTGAATGGCCTACCATTTTATTGATGTTTTCTTAGCCCTGCACCAGAGCTTTACATGGTTTCACTCCCATCTTCAATAAATATGAACTGGTTTTTATCACTGCCTTTCTTATGGTGTTGTGCAGGGTACTTGTTTTCATCTTGTGTTAAATATGAAAAATGAATTTTGACATTAGCAGAATCCATTTGGAGACTAGGACTTTTTATTATAAATAAAATTATTCATTAGTTATGTCCATTTTTTTTTTTCAGTAGACAAGGTATTGATCTTTAGATTTGTGTTCAGGGTGCCATAAGAACTAGCACAAAAGGAACGCAGCAACATTTGTAAATTGATTGAATGCAGTGTGTAATGACAGAGACAAACAGCAGATCTATGGCAATACTATATTATACAAAGCATTTTTCAGCAGTTTATTGAATTGGTTATTAAAAGGAACAGTCTTTCCAGCTGGGAACAGCAAACTGAGGGTTATTGGGACCAAGTACTTTTATAGAAATTTGTGGACACTTTGGCTCCCTTACTAAGGGCACACGTATGTGTGTAATAAATTAGAATAAACCATTTACAACAAATTTTCATATGGGATTGATTATGAAAAGGTTTTTCCATCTAAAAACCCCAACAAAACAGAAACAAAAAAGGAAGACTGTTTAACTGTTACATACTGAATTTCGCTGGACTATTTTGTACTGCTCTTTTCATAGATATCTAAGTTTTCCCACCAGAAAGTATTCTGATTGTGGGGAATAGACCATGTATAAAACCCCAAAGCATATGATATTTTCTGGCACCTTCATCACTACATGGAGGTAATGGTCATTATTTGTTGCCGAGGCCGTGTGCTGTTCTGTGAGTTCCTGCCGCTTGTTCCTGTTATTAATGAGCAGAGAAAACATTAGTTGAACCAGATGCTCCCTTCAAAGGGCTGCTCACACCCCAAGCTGCAGTGTAATTGGTCTGCTGCAGGGGTGGGATGGGATCCAGGGTCAGGCAATGTGAGAGCAGCATCTGCTCTGCTGCACGGTTTGTCTGGCTGGGAGCTCCCTGTCATCTGCTGTCACAACGGCTGTATTGCTTCAGACTGATGTGTTCTGTAGTGCCACAAATATTTTCCTAATGCTTTCCTTAAAAATAAATGGTCTTTTAGTATTATTATTGTTAATATATTTTCCAAGTAATTTTCATTTAGTTTCAGGTCTGACAGAGTTTCCACTGAAGATAGCACACTAGAAAGAACAGTAGTATTCTCGCACAAGTTTGGTTGAAAACCGTGGTATTTATCTTGTATATGAAGTTTAAATTCTTCCTAAACTTACAGAATTGCTGTTATGATTTTATTTGTACATTATACATTTATCATATCTATATTTATGCTCTGTAAGTATGAATTTTATGGGTTTCAGCCTAAATAAGTGTTAATATTTACCATAAAACTAAGATTAAGAAAATAAAATTTGTTATATTGCCAAATATATGTTTATATCTACATATTCCAATAATGTGCACTGCATGTTTGCAACAACTTGTTTGAGATATCTAATCTTGCAGGAAAGTACTCTTTAGTTCTCATTACAGAAGCTTCCTATACATTACCACTGTTATTAGTTTGTTTAGCACAATGTTAAGGAGCAGTCAT